TATTAATAAAGCAAGTCTCTCATATAATATCTCTACTACAGAAAATATTACTTTACAAAATGCATTGTACGTAAATCAGATGAACATTTTTAAATTAGTCAATAATATTACTGTAATTAATAAAAAAAACTGAATAAATATAGATTTACACACATTTATTCAAGTAAATTTAGCTAAATTTCTGCGGAATTCTGCCCGTGCTGATTCCGTGTGCTGGCCTAGCTATGACATAACTCCTTTCATTTAAAGCGAAAAATACGAAGCATCTCCTGTCTCTTTTGCTGAATATCAGTTTTAAAAATCAATAATGGCCATTATAAAAGTATAACTTACAATACATTTATACGTTAAGGCAAGCAATCAGTCAAATGTGCAGAATCAGTGTACGTGGTTACATAAATTCATACATTAACTTCTCTTTGAGCTCAGCCAAAACACGTTACTTGAGAACAAGTATTCAAAAGACTGATATCAGGGAATATGTTGTTAGATACACACAACAACAAAAATTAAATATCACATTTCACAAATATAGTGAGATTAGATCCAGCGGTATATTCTTGATGAACTGTCTGATGTGCGCTGCTTTCACCTGGGGTTTGGTGTTCAAAGCACCCACTGACTGCCTGGAGCTCAGACATGCGCATGCGCTGCAGTGTATGCCTGTGTGTGTAAGTGTGTGTGTGGTCACATGATGTGCATTTTCAATGGCTTAGTGTGGATGGAGATCTGTTCAGAAATGCTAGGTGAAACATCAATGTGGACGTGGATTTCTACGTTTTATGTGGATGTGGACGTTTTATTCTAAAATGCTTGTTTTAAAACAAAAACATATTAGTTTAAATGTGGCTCAAGTTTGTTTTTTCCCCAAGGTGTTTGGTCTTTCAGGTGAAAATCGCAAGTAACAGCATCTCTCCTCAGCAAGCAGCATGGTTTGAGCTTTTATTCATCACCATAACAAAAATGTTGTGAGACCAGTTAACTGCCAAATGTTTCTTAGTACTGAGGTTTGTTCGCTCTCAGTATTACCAATATATACTTGCTAGAAAGCATCTCCACCAAATGTGGAAAAGACTGAATATTAAGTTGCAGACTGTCAGATCAAACAATCAGTTTGATATGAGGTAGCCGCCGGTCAAAGATGACACATTCAGGAATATAAAAGCAGCAAACAGCAGCAGTTCAGTAATGGATACCAAAAAGCTTCAGGCAAATAGATTATCTAGCCAACCGTTTCCTTAAAAGAGCCCCTACTCAACACTCATCTGATGTAAACTAAACTGATGCTTTCTCCATGTGCTTCACCACACACACATTCATACACACACACACAAAGACACACACTAATGTCATACACACATAGTAATCAATCCTGCTGCCAGTGTGAGAGCAGACGTCTTTCTCAGATCTGCTCTTCTGCTACGCTGCTAACTCTAAATTACGGCTTTGACTTCACAGCCCAGCACGAAGCCTTCCCTCTAAAACTCTCTCTCATGCTGTCTGATGAGATAAACACCACAATAACACCCGCGATCAATGCAAACCAGTCTTTGTACTGTATTTCAAGCCAACTCAATAAAAATCAAAATGAACCTTTTTTTTACTGTTTCTACACACTCCTTGTGGTTTAGTTCATTATGCTTCAGTGGAAATCATAAAAAAAGAAAAACCCCTCTTATTTTTTTTTTTTTTAATCATCACCCTATAACCACCTACTTTTTTTTTGTCAATATCCAATTAATTATATGTTTATCATTAGCCTAGTGTTTTTTTTCACATATTTCCTTGTTTTGCTTAGAAATATTCAGTTTTTGTTGTTGTTAAAATAATAGTGATATAATATTAAAGCAAAATAATACAAAAAAAGTAAAAAAAAAAGTAATAAGTAAATAACTTTAAAAAAAGCATGATTTAAATTACAGAGGTTGGCACTTTACATTACGTGGGTTTAATTAATATGAATTATTTAAATTAATAAGTTTGATACAATGTAACTATAATACCTGACAAAAATCTTGACACATATCTAAGTTTAAGGAACAATAATAACTTGACTTCTTGTTGATCATTTGGTATCAGAAGTGGCTCATATGAAAGGCAAATGCCTCTAGACTATGCTCTTTTTACCTACATGAAATTGTATCATGTATTGAGTTTTAATTATTTTATTAGGACAAAAAGGCTTAGATTTGCTAAGACAAAAGTCTTGTCATTTAACAGAAATAATGTGCAGTATAGAATCAGTGGCGTAGCATAAAATGTGGAGGCCCCCCTGTAGGGGGGGGGGGGGGGGGGTTGGGGGCAATCACAAATTGAGGAGCGGGAGAAGGGAGGCGGGATGAAGTGACAACGCGGGGAAGCCTTCACAAACTGAGGAGCGATCACAAACTGAGGAGTGATCACAAACTGAGGAGCGGGAAAGGGAGCGGGGTGGAGCGACGACGCGGGGAAGCCTTCACAAACTGAGCAATCACAAAACGAAAACGGCGAGAGCGTCAAAGTAGCCAGAAGTCATTCATTTTTAGTGAGAACCGGCGGCGAGGAACAGCGCAGCGCGTCTTCTCCTGTGTGGGCGTTGAGGAGAGTTGAAATCAAATCAACTTTATGCTATGACGCGGTTCGGCGACAAGCAATCAGAATGAAGTAGTCCACAGCTTGAGAGGAATTCAGAGAACACAGACCTGTGAACTTTGGTTCTGACCAAAGTTGTTCCCAAGAGTTTGATTATTGTGGTTGGCGGATTTTCAATTATTGAAAATCGCGATGACGTGGGGCCCCCTAATCACGCGGGCGATCCCCCCCCCACCCCCCCCCCCCCCCCTCGGTGAGTGCCCTGCGGGCCCGTCCGCTATGCCACTGTATAGAATATAAATGGTGAAGAATTTCTGCTGAAGAATTTGCAGATCTGCAGATCTCTTGCATGCCCCATACTGGATGTAACCCTAAACCATGATTTTTCCTCCACCAATTTTGACTGTTGACTCTATGAATTTGGGTCCATGTAGTTCCAATAAGTCTTCTGCAGTATTTGCTATGATTGGCATACAACTCAACAGCCGATTCAACAAACTTTTTTGTACAGTAGAAGTTCACCGGTTTCTTTAAAACAATTTTTTTAAAAATCCTCTCCACTTGATGTTTAGATTAGTTAAAGATGCCTGCCACCTCAGAAGGAAACTTGGTCTTCAGACTCTTGATGATCAGCACTTTGGTCTGTGGTTGAATCTTTGGCATGCTGTCAGGTCAGGATATATTTCAAGTGAAGTTTGGGTATGCTGGGGTTCTTTTTTTTTACACACTTGTAAATGTGTTAATTACAGTATTTGTCATAGGTTATGCTCTAAGTGAAATTTATGTATAAACTAATTTCGAGAGGATCACGTGCTTATGAATGCTAGCGGCTGGATCCTCATTATCCAATTTCATGCTCCAATCAGATGACTCCTAAACTACTATAAATACCCTGGGTTTCATTCCACTGCTATCTTCATTTTGAAGAGTCCCCCCTTCCACCCCTACTCCTCCTTCTTCCTAGATTGGTGACACGGTGGCCCAGTGCGTAGCACTGTTGCCTCACAGCAAGAATGTCTCTGGTTCCAGGCTTTACCAAAGCAGCAGACATTTCTGTGTGGAGTTTGCACTTTCTCCCTGTGCTCACGTGGGTTTCCCCAGGGTTCCCCGGTTTTCTCCCCCCAACCAAAAACATGCAAATTAAGTTAATTGACTAATCCAAATCGGCACCATAGACATGCTACTAGTATGTAGATATCTCCAAGAGCAATCACTTGATGTTCTTTGTTTACTACAGGGGAGTTCTCAAGATCTACCTGAGCTCAAACTCCCCTCCCGCCTTGCAACGGGAGGGAACCCTGGGCTCGAGGATCTCATGAGCTCAGGGCTCTCTCCCGGGACTGCATGCCAAACAAGCTTTTATAATCAATCATCAGCTAAGTGTGAACTCTTGAATTTGGGATTGGGGAAACTTTTAAAGAAGTGACAAGACTTTTGTCTTAGCAAAGTTTGACCTGTCTGTCCTGATTAAACAATTAAAATCAAAGCCTGATCATGTATTATTTTGGTAAATTAAGCATAATCTAGAGGCCTTCGCCTTTCTTTTAACTAACTTCTGATTCCAAGTGATCAACTAGAAGTTAGTATTTGTTGTTCCTAAAACTTTGACAGGCAACAATACTTTTGTCAGGTAGAATAGAATATAATGGAATAGAAATTACTTTTTTTCTCTTTTTTTTTTCCTTTTTTTATGTTTTCATTTTAAAAGAGTGATGTGTGTGTGATATCTGATCATTATGTTATTTTTTGAGAGGGAGTTCACATTCAGCAACACATACATTCTGTGGTCTAAATGTATTTTTTAGTGTGAACATGGTCAGGGTTCTTAGAATTTTAGCTAAAGTATATTTCTAAATGCCAACATGTGTGTTTGTGTGATGTAGTTTAAACTCATCAATCCACTATTTCCCTTCTTTTGAAATGTCTTTGAAATGATCAGAGGAACGGAACACTTAAAGTTAGTTCATCTCGTGTTTTTTTCTCTCCGCGGGTCTTATCTGCGGGGCTATACTTGAGCTGAAGGCATTAAGAAGCTTTACGCTCCGCACAGTCGGACCGCAAAAGGTCAGTTTTGCAAATTGGGTTCATTAATCTTTAATAGTACAGCAACTCCACAGAACCTCTTCATCCATGCCTGCAGATTAAAATGAATCACATGCTCGGAAAGATTAGTCTGTTGGGAATTTTTTTGGATAGGATGAAAACTGTCCAGAGAGTCTGGAACCTTTGGGTTTACTGGATGAAGAAAAAAAAAAAAACACCTAACTGACACACTTGCTGTTATCTGTGAAAGTTGCAGACTTGGATCATCAATGCTGGCATTCTTTTTCTGTGAAAATACAATTATTACTATGGTATCTGCTGTAGTTTTAGTCCTGTTTCTCATCAGATGGACTGTTTGACAGTGCTTGTCTTTTTTTTTTGGACAGAACTGTGAAAAACTGACGTTCCTAACAGCCATGTGCCCCACTGAATGAGATGAAATCGCATCTGTTGCTGTTTCTAAAGGTAAGACAGCAGTAAATTATCTCAAAAGCACATAGAAAACACAATAACGAAACATCCTCCAGAACAAATACAGCCAAAGGGAAATGGTATCACTCAGTGGATGGTCTGGCAAAGCTCATGAGACTAAACGGAGTTATCATTTAGATGTTAGTATGAGATTTTGTACCAGATATTTACCTTACAATTCCAAATAGATTTAGGAATACAAATAGATGCAAATGACACGTTATGTTTGTTGACATGATATGTTTGTTGGTGGAAAGTTACACAGTTTTAATACATAGATTTGCAAAGTCTGAATCAGTTTTTTTTTTTTTTTTTTTCAATCTGAGATCTATAGAAAAAGTTTTACTGGTTTCATTTCACCAATATTGTAATAATGCTCATAAACATGAAATTCTCTGGCTTAAAGGCTCATGACATGGATACATTTTGCAATCATTTTCAGTGTTTGACACCAGATGAGTCACCTGCTCTTTCAACCATAATGATAGACCTATTAAAAATGAATGACTCATCAAAAACTCATCAACCCCACTGTGTCTTTTTTTGTCCACTTCCTTCACCGGAATACTGTAGGTTGCTCAGGGAATTATCACTATAGTAGCTCAAGAAATATATACATATATTTTGTGTGGAGACACAAAGTCACAAAGTCACCTATAGCTTTTGTCATCGCTGGTTCAAGTCTCGGCTGGGCCAGTTGGCGTTTCTGTGTGGAGTTTGCATGTTCTTCCTGTGTGGGTTTCCTCTGGGTGCTCTGGTTTTTCCCACAGTCCAAAGACATGTGCTGTAGGTGAATTGAATAAACTAAATTGGGCGTAGTGGGCAGCATGGTGGTGCAGTGGATAGCAAAATCGCCTCAGAGCAAAAAGGTCGCTGGTCCGAGCCTCGGCTGGGTCAGTTGGCATTTCTGTGTGGAGTTTGCATGTTCTCCCTGTGTTCATGTGGGTTTCCTCTGGGTGCTCCGGTTTCCCCCACAAGTCCAAAAACATGTGGTATAGGTGAATTGAGTGAACTAAATTGCCCATAGTGTATGTTTGTGAATGAGTTTGTATGGATGTTTCCCAGTGATGGGTTGGAGCTGAAAGGGCATCCACTGCGTAAAACATATGCTGGATAAGTTGGCGGTTCATTCCACAGTTGCGACTCCGGATTAATAAAGGGACTGAGCCACAAATAAAAATGAATGAATGAATGAAATTGGCCATTGTGCGTATAGATGTGTGTAGATTGATGTTTCGTAGTATTGGGTTGCAGCTAGAAGGGCATCCGCTGTGTAAAGAATATGCTGGATAAGTTGGCGATTAAATCCGCTGTGGTGACCCCTAATAAATAAAGAAACTAAGCCGAAGGAAAATTGATGAACGAACCAACCATATATCTCAACAAAACGTTTAACCTTTTATTTAAAATGCACATTTTTAACTATTTGCCATTATGGGTTAATTGTTCATAATGGTGCATAATGGCGAGTACAGATGTTTAAAAAAATTAAAATCTTCACTTTAAAAGTTTTAAATTTAACTTGGTGAAACCTGCAGAGTCTCTGACATTGCTTACCAGTTGTTTACAAGAATAATTTCTGACTCTCTTTTCAAGCATGGTACAGCTGTTATGGTTCTAATAAAAACTCAAATTAATGCCAAAATTACCATGAGTTGATGCGTGACACCTCTGCAACCATCGTCAACTATGACATGCTTTGTTTCAATGAAATCAGCTGTTTAGAAATCCACATTGAAAGAGCAGTACAGCAGTCAGAGTACAATGGTAGAGTCCTGAAGACAAACCCAGAACAGAGCTGTCAAATGCAGAGAAGTCAAACAGCTGCAGCTTCATATTTAATAACACATCTGCTTCAGAACACCAGTAGCAATCACAGACACATTTGAAACACTTCACAGGGTGTTGATACTCATCAAGAATGAGCAATTATGGAAAACATTTATCGGCCATCGGCAAAACCTCTTGAGCAGCCTCTGTAATCTGCTGAGTTTGAAAGTGCAGGATTGATGCTCGGATGGGTTTTAATATGCAGTCAGTCCTACTCAATACAGCTGTCCGATGCCCACCCACCAGCTCAAACTTTAGATTTTACACTCCATTTCTAGCTGCATTAACGATGCCATCATTACAGCCAGAAACAGTGCAGTATTAATGGCCAATTATTGGTTCTCTGGGCAGAATCAAATAGAGTTTGCACATAAAGCTACTCGGCGGTGAAACCGGACAGCACTTGAAGGTCCTAAAGTTCACTGAAGCAGCGCAGATGGTGACCAGAGCAGCTAATTTTAACCTTTACTGCTTCTGCAGTCACAGAGGACAGGGCTATATGCCCATGTTTGGCACAAAGTATCTGATGATGACATTTTATGAGCGTAAACTTACATCCTTCAAATTCCTAAAAGTATTTATAATAATAATTTCTGAATTAAAAATGTATTTATATATTTTTGGGGATCATCATAATCTGTCTGTCTGTCTGTCTGTCCATCCATCATTCAATCCATCTATCCATCTATCTATCTATCTATCTATCTATCTATCTATCTATCTATCTATCTATCTATCTATCTATCTATCTATCTATCTATCTATCTATCTATCTATCTATCTATCTATCTATCTATCTATCTATCATGTATCTATGTCCGTCTGTCTGTCTGTCTGTCTGTCTGTCTGTCAAACTACCTTTGTATGTGGAAAAACGTGCATATTGAGGAGTAGGGCTGCAGGGTATATCAATTCAGCATTAATATTTCAATGTGTGTGTCCGCTATAGTCACATCACAGGGTATGTTGAGAGATTATAGTTGATCAGCACAACAATTGAGAATATATGAGATTTGTGGAGTCATTGCAAAGTATAACCATGACAGAGTGACGCTTTATCATTTGCATTTGTTCAAGAGGCATTTCAAGAAGTTTAAAGCAGTAAGGCACAAAAATGTTTAACATTTGTATCTTTTATGAAGAATAATTTTACATAATTATTAATACAATGAAAACTATACAGTGTACATATTTTCAGTGTTGGGGGTAACGTTATAAGCAACGCACGTTATATAACACATTACTTAAAAAATAAAAAGTAACGGTTACTGTTTAACTTGCTTAATTGGCTTTTACAAAATAGATTGGGGAATAAAAAAGACCTTAGTTGGACCACACACTCAATGAGAGCGTGTTGTGAGGGAACAGACAGTCGGCTCGCACTAATCATCATTAGGTCTTTTTTTTACAGTGTACTGTTCTAGTAACTGAATAACTCAGGATATGGGTTTATTTCAAGTCAGAGGGAGTATGTTAGTACTTACTGAAGACGCAAAATGTTCCATGACAACTTCACCTGAACCACAACCGGTTCACTTAGAAAATTCGATTAAAAACAAGTGATTAATTCGCAAATCACCCATTATCACTACAGACAGTCAGAAAAACAATGGCAGGCCAGAGAATTACATTACAGAATTACGCACACCAACTCTAGCTAAACAATGACTGACTGACATCAGTTCATGTTCTCCAGGTAAAACAATTATTTCGACTAAACTTAAAAAAAGTCATTGCTTTTATTGTTAATGATATGCAGCCACTGTCTACTGTAGAAGCAACTACGTTTTGTAATATAGTAAGATTTTTTTTTCTCACATTTCGTCACCTTGGAATTATAAGGTTCTACCTGCATTCTGAATGATTTTGAGATATTGAGCTTCAAAGTTTTTGCATATAGCAAACAATGGTGATGCCGTGGCGCAGAAGGTAGTGCTGTCGCCACACAGTAAGAAGGTCGCTGGGTTGCTGGTTCGAACCTTGGCTCAGTTGGCGTTTGTGTGTGGAGTTTACATGTTATCCCTGCATTCGCATTCACCCAGTTTCCTCTGGGTGCTCCGGTTTCCCCCACAGTCCAAAGACATACGGTACAGGTGAATTGGGTAGGCTAAATTTTTTGCTGTGTGTGTGTTTGTGTGTTTGTGTGTGTGTGTTTGTGTGTGTGTGTGTGTGTGTGTGTTTGTGTGTGTGTGTGTGTGTGTGTGTGTGTGTGTGTGTGTGTGTGTGTGTGTGTGTGTGTGTGTGTGTGTGTGTGGATGTTTCCCAGAGATGGGTTGCGACTAGAAGGGCATCCGCTGCGTAAAAACGTGCTGGATAAGTTGGTGGTTCATTCCGCTGTGGCGACACCAGATTAATAAAGGGACTTTATTAAGCCTACATGAAAATGAATGAATGGATGAATGAATGAATAGCAAACAATATGTGTGTAACATTTATATATATATATATAGAAAAGTCTTAAAATGTAAACAACTTATAAAAAAAAACATCCCATAATGTAAATAAGTCGTCATTTAATAAGAATATGACAGTAGCTCAATTTTGACAAAAATGTCAGATAGAACCTTATAATTCTATGGTGACTTTTTTAAGGCCACGTGAAGCCATTTATTCAATGTATAAAGCTCAAAGATTTATTTTGTTTTAGGGATTTTTTTTATCGTCTTATAGTTCATTTTGTTATCAAACATTTTAAAGGTGAAAAATCTGTTTTTCCTCTAATATAAATTATTATTTTTATGTTAGTACCTCTAGGCATTATTGGAGTCTTTATCTCAATGTACAGTGAATTTTCTTAACTAATAACACAAAATGTACAAAAGTACCAAACACATTACATGCGTTCATTATTCTGTATGTACAACATGTACTGTATAGCTCTGGGCTCAGAAAGTTCTCAAAATATAATTTTAGCCTACATTTTTTAAAGGAAAATGAAGGTGTAGGTTATATATGTTAAATGCAGAGCTACTCTATTTAAAAAAAGGTGAAAAAATGTGTCAGCAAGGTAAGAAATAGTAACTTAAAAGTAACACAACACATTACTTTTCATAAAAAGTAGCTAAGTAACGCAATCAGTTAGTACTTTTTGGGGGAGTAACTCAGTATTGTAATGTACTATGTTCATTATTCAATTTCTGTACCTGAATACTGTTTGACTCTTC